AAGGTGCATTTGTTTGGTTAATTATGTAAATTTGTGGTTCTGTGATAAATTTTGTATTTAATTTAAAATGCATAATAATGTAACAATTGTGTAGTATATGTATTTGAGAAAACAATTGCTATTATGTTATGTTGTGAAGAGGGGTTTTCAAGAAATAACCAATAGTCTTTTAAAACATATATGAATATTGTTTTTATTCTTTCAACCATACAAAGCATATTGCAAAATAATTTAATATAGATTCAATTATAAATGATTTATTCTAAACTTCATTGAATTTGTAATGTAATGATTATTTTGAGATATGTTAACGGGATATCAATGTATTTGATTTAGTACTTCAATCGTAATTGGCCCCCCACACTATTCCGTCCTGGCTCCGTCCCTGATTGGTGGGACTAGATCATAATATAATAGTCTTAAACTCATTGTCATCCATGAAATAATTGAGTAAAACAAAACCCCTTTAGAAAATGTAGCGAGCGCAGCTTTTTATATAGTCAAGTTTGATGGATTCTTTGTTTCTTAACTACTCTAATCATGCCGTAAAAAATTCAGGGGGCGGTATTTATTTATTTAGTTTTTGTGCAGATGCAATATTGTTTTAGCTATATTATATTATGAATCATCATATCATGTCAATAAAGTTTGCTTATAAAGTTTGATAATTATATAACGCAGAGACTGGAAGAATGAATAACATAACAAACAATTAAGGGAATAAATCTGATTAAAATAATTAACAGGAATTGGACTAAATTTTCAAAAAAGTGAAACAAAAGGGTTAAAAATATTGTTTTCCCTTAATTAAGTATGCATTGCATATTTACATAATTACATTATTGTTTTTCATAAAAGACTAGTATCATGGTGGTAAACTAGCTATAGTCTATTGTTAAAAATTTATATAGTAATTGAGATTAATGTTTTAGATGGACTACCATGGAAGATTAAATAATATTTGGAGTTGTGGAGTTATAAATATTGTTTTGGTTTGGTAGAATGTAAATTGGGAAACATGAATATTACGTACGATTGGAACCGAATAGCACTCAGTTGGAAATGCGCAATTCATTAATTTTAATGATTAGTTAGTGTTAATGAATCGTTGGTTTTTACTTTTTAACGAATCAATGCTTTTAATCAATTCGGTGGTATCCAGGCTTGACGATTAGATGTACAATTCGTAAATTAACTGAGTTGATACATTTTGTTCAATTCGTTGCTTAACAAATCAGTACGTAGTTTCGATCGAAGGAGTTAATAGGTCGGCCTTGGGTGCAAATTACACAAACAATTTGTTATCTCGGCCAAGTACGCATTAGCTCGGACTTATATTGCTGACTTTATCCTTAATTCATTGACTCGTGGAATTAACGAATTATATTGTTACTTTGTTTCGGCAGTGAGGTGGTGATACTTCATGCGTGTGAAGTACAAATACATATATTATCTATTTATTATGTTGCATTGCATTGAATAATAAATATAAGATACATATCTTATGAAAATAAGATTCAAAGTAATATTTGTTCCATGTTTGATATATCTTATGGAAGTTATATTTTTAAAATTGCAGTAACTTCTCCAAATTGCTATATTTGCATCTATAAATATTTGAAAAAACAACTGAAAGAAAAAAAAATGCAATAAACTTGCAGTAAACTAAGATATTTCACAGTTCTACAATCTTACAGGGAATTCTTAAACAAATTCATTCATCTTCTTATATTCATAAAATTAAAACTTAAACTTTGTGGCTTTACATGAGGAGATTTAAAGCTTATGAAAGTGATTACATGCCTGATGATTTCATTTCCTCACTTCCCTTTTATCAGCCACTCGAAACATCCTATTTTTCTGACATCTATTCAGTCATTCACTTTATATCTTGTAATCTTGTATAAAGCAATCAAACATAGAGGGGTATTTAGTTTCACTTAATATTCGAGTGCTCCGAGATATCAATCCAAACATATGAAACCTTTGGTACAAAGTTCAATTATGAAGCAATTGAGTTATTGGGACGGTAAGAATTGAGGACACAAGCTTTTATTTAGATCAGAGTTCAATTTTGAAGTCTTACAGGATCGGAACACATCAAGCTTGTCTATTTATGCTTGTCTCTGTGCGTGTATATAATAATGTTCTCGGCAAATTAAATTAAATCTTGCCGGCTGGCCTGCTATATGCATGAAAACGAAACCATAAACATTATATATATATATATATATATATATATAGCTTGGATTATTTTATATTATCAACTTTGGCGCAGTCTTTGTTTAATTGTTATTGATGTAACTTACCGCAAAATAATGAGGAAAATTGTCTCCTTTCTTGTACAGTTACATTATTAAGAACTTCATTTATTGTATATATGTGCATAGTGTATGTAATTGCATACTATACAGCAGATTTTCATTTCTTCTTTCGTCCCTGTTATTCATTGAAATGGAACAACCTTCTTTTATGTCTTCATGTGGTTCTTCCTATGATGTTTTCTTGAGTTTCAGAGGAGAAGACGTTCGCAAGAATTTCGTTGATCATCTCTATAGTGCTATGCAGCAAAAAGGGATTTACACTTTCAAAGACGACGAGAAGCTGGAAAGGGGAAAGTCCATCTCGCCTGCACTTGAGAAGGCAATCGATGAATCGTCCATGGCGGTGGTCGTCTTCTCCGAGCACTATGCTGATTCCACATGGTGTTTGGAGGAACTGGTGAAAATCATGGAGTGTATGGAGATGAAAGGTCAGATGGTTGTTCCCATTTTCTATGGCGTGGATCCATCGACGGTTAGGAAACAGAAAGGAAAGTATGGAAAAACCTTTGAAGGTTACGAGAAGAGATTTGAGAAAGAAGGAGAAAAGGTGAAGAAATGGAGGAAAGTGCTGGAGGATGTATCCAATTTGGCAGGTTGGGATCTGGAGAACACTGAAAATGGGTATGGAATCTTAAACTCTTAACCCCATACATACACACACACACACATATATATATATATATATATATATATATATATATATATATATATATATATATAACTTGGTTCCGGTGCAGTTGGTGCGCCTAGATGTGGTTGTGCGAAGAGAGAAGAGTCATTGATTTTGCTTAAATCAACATCCAGGACTACAAAAATTTTAAAAAAAAAATGTGGTGGCAATTTGGTAATTTTTGCATATAGGTCAAATTTAAGGTGCATGGTGTTTGTGATTAAGGTGCGTGGGTTTTGTGCTTAAGGTAAGTGAGTTTGTGCTTAGAATGGGTGAGTTTTGTGCTTAAGCTGTGTGGATTGTGTACTTAATGTGGATAGTTGTTGAAACTTAAGGTGCGTGAGTATTGTGCTTAAGGTGCATGTGATTTGTGTTTAAAGTGCGTGAGTTTTGTACTTTAGGTGCGTGAGTTTGTGTTTAAGGTGAGTAGTTGTTAAAACTTAAGGTGTGTGGGTTTTGTTCTTAAGGTGTGTGGGTTTTGTTCTTAAGGTGCGTGAGTTTTGTGCTTAAGGTGCGTGGATTCTATGCTTAATGTGAACCATTTTAAAACCTTAGGTGCGTGGTTTGTATTTTTTTAAGGTGCTTTGTTGTGTGCTTAAGGTGTGTGGCTCGTGTACTTAAGGTGAGTGAATTGTGTTTTTAATGTGCTTTGTTTGTGTGCTTAAGGTACGTGGTGATTTGTGTACTTAATGTGCGTCAATACTTAAGGTGTGTCCAACCGCACGGGAAGCCGTTCCCGCACCTGAACCCTTCCGCGCGCGTGCGCGCACACACACACACACACACACACACACACACACACACACACACACATATATATATATATATATATATATATATATATATATATATATATGTGTGTGTGTGTGTGTGTGTGTGTGTGTGTGTGTGTGTGTGTGCGTGGAGTGGATCAGATGTAAATATATTTTTTCGTGCGGTTAACACACAAAGACGCACCTTAAGTACAGAAACAAAGCACCCTAAGAACACAAATCACGCACCTAAAGTTTAAAAATTACGCACCTTAAGTACACAAACCACGCACCTTAAGCACACAAACAAAGCACCTTAAGAACACAAACCACGCACCAAAAGTTTTAAAATTTCGCACCTTAAGTTTCAACAACTGATGGACCTTAAACATACAAATCACTCACCTTAAGAAGGAAAACAAAACTAATTAAATAGGAAAACCACGCACCTAAAGCTTTAGCCCGACGCACCTTAAGTTTCAACAACTGACGCACCTTAAGCACACAAACCATGCACTGTACCTTAAGAAGGAAAACCTCGGGCACCTAAAGCTTTAGATTGATGCACTTAAGTTTTCAACACCTGACGCACCTTAAGCACCTTAAAAAGGAAAATTACGCACCTTAAATTTAACCTAGATGCAAAAGGACCAAATTTCCATTGCGCGTTTTTTTAATCATATCATTATTAATCCTGGACGTTGATTTAGGCAAGATCAATGGCTCATATTTAACTGCACAACCGCACGGGAACTGAAACATTTGAGTTTGAGCTCGGCTCGGACTTGAAGTTAACCAAGCTCCAGCCGAGCTTTGACCAACCGGTTCGCGAGCTGCTCGGCTCATTTACACCCCTACTACTACCATACCACTATTAACATAACACTACCACCACTTCTTCTGTCATAACTTATATATATATATATATATATATATATATATATATATATATATATATATATATATATAAGGGAGAAGTGTCAAATAAGCCGATATATTACTTCAAAGTGTTCAATTCCCCCACCATCTAAAATATGTTGTAATCAGGCACACTTACCCTCTAAATTTGTTCAATTCGACTTTTTCATAGGTAACCACCCATTTTTTCTGACGTGGCCCGGTTACAATTACATGCCACTAATTACATGGCATTAAAATAATAAAAATATAAAAAAAAATTTGGTCAAATCTGAATTACTAAATAAACACCTTATTTTCCCTAATCTATAAAAAAAATTTCGCCGCCTCTGCCACATGCTCGAGCTTCCCTCAAATCCGATCTCGTCGCAAATCTCACCACAGCCGTCGCAAATCCCTAAAATTCGCCGCTTCTACATGCTCGAGCTCGTGTTCCACCGCCGTATGTTGGAGTATCCTTGCCTCACCTTCGATCCCGCACACGCCGCCGCCGTCTACCTCCCGTACTACGCTGGCCTCGACAGCCTTCGCTACCTCTTCGGCCCCGAAACCAACTCCTTATTCCGCCACGGCCTCAATTTGTACGATTACATAGCCCGCATAGATTTGCCCTCCAGGTAAGCAAGAAATCTGGGTCACGATAATTTTCTGGTAATGGCTCGGCCGGCCTGGGATTTCACGCAGTCCGTGACACTCATCGATTTTCTTGTTTAGAGAGTCCATTTCCAGATCTTGATTCGGAGATCAACCTTGCAGTCAACGTTGGAGGTTGTGGCTTTTGACGGCGAGAGTTTGCTTTGAGGCGGAGATTGTTGTTTTCAAAGTGGTGGTGTTTTTGGTGCTGTGTTCGAATGCCGGAAACGATCCGATTCCGATGGGGATGTCGCCAGAGAAGGTGGAAATGGTGATGGGGTCGTAGAAATATGTGAGCTTTTTGTTGGGTTTGGGGCGGAGACGGAGATGTTGAGTTTGGAGGTGAGGGTGGTGGAGGAGAGGTTGAATTGGGAGGAGTGGAGAGAGTTGACGGCGAAAGTGGGCTGTTCGGGGCGGTAGAGGAAGTAAAAAACCAGAGCTTACCATTGGCAAGAAATAGCGATTCACGCCGCTGGTGATGATGAAGCTAAGGCGGTGGTGGAGGTTGACTAGGATGATATGCGGCCGGCGGTAGTGGAGGTTGACTGGGATGAAGGCGCTGATGTCACCACCAATAACATTAAATTCTATGCCATTAAATTTATTTCCAGGTCCGCCAGTCGAATGGGCAACCGGGTGGTAACCTATGAAAAAGTTTAATTGAACAAATTTAGAGGGTAAATGTGCCTGATTACAACATATTTTAGATGGTGGGGGAAATTGAACACTTCGAAATAGTAGAGGGGTCTATTTGACAAAAGGACATACAACATCAATTATTTATTAATACCTGACGTTGTAAATATATATTTTTAAAAAATAAAACTATACGATGTCGATTTTTTGATTTAACCGACGTATAGTTTTACTTTTTTAAAAAATAAATTTACAACGTCGATTATTTATTAATAACTGACGTTGTAGAGCCGACGTTACATGTTATTTCTGTAGTAGCATAGACAATGGCTTTTTCCATATGATATTACTATGGATAATTGTTTTTGAACTTTACCCACATGAAGTTGCATGCTTATGTTTAGAGGTGAAGCCATCTAACTAAAAAACGTGCTTTAATTTATGTCTTTAATTTATGATTTGTACTTGCTGTGTTTTATTAATATAGGCATGAAGCAAAGTTCATCAAGAGAATTGTTGAAGATATCATTACTAAGCTGGGTTTAACAAGGTCAATTAATGATCGAATACTGGTTGGGATAGAGGCTCGTATGCAGAAACTTTATCGATTGATAGGCTTGGATTCTAATGAGGTTCGCTTTGTTGGAATACATGGGATGAGCGGGATTGGAAAGACAACTATTGCAACAGCTATATATGACAAGATCTCAAAAGAATTCGAAGATTGTAGTTTTATTCTTGAAGTTAGAAGCGAGTCGGGCAAACATGGTGTGGTGCACTTGCAACAGAAACTTCTATCTAAGATTCTTTCAGTAAAAGATTTGAAAATAGAGAATGTGTTTCAAGGAAAAATGATGATACAGCAAAGGCTGCGTTGCAAAAGAGTGCTTATTGTTCTTGATGATGTTGATCACAGGGATCAATTGGAATCATTGGCTGGAAACAGTGATTGGTTCGGTGCTGGAAGTAGAATCATCATAACAACCAAGGATAAGCACTTGCTCATTAGCCATAAAGTGAACAATATGAAATACTATAAAATGGGTGTGCTAGAGGAAGCTGAAAGCTTTCAACTCTTTAGGCATCACGCATTTAAGAACCAACAGGCACCTACCAAGGAATTTGAGGAGCTCGAAAGTCAAGTGGTACACTATGCTGGGGGCCTTCCTTTGGCTCTTGAAGTTTTGGGTTCTTTCCTATATGGTAGAGGCATTACTCAATGGAGAAACCAAGTGGAACGGCTTAAGGAAATCCCAGAAAAAGAGATTTTAGAAAAGCTTAAAGTGAGCTTCCATGGTCTCAACAAAATTGATCAAATGATTTTCTTAGACATTGCATGCTTCTTTAATGGGAAGAAGAGAACATCCATAACAAGAATACTTAATAGTTTCAACTTCCACTCTGACATCGGCATAAACATTCTCAGAGAAAAATGTTTGATAACTATTTCAAAAGGTCGCATTTTGATGCACCAATTAATCCAGGAAATGGGGTGGTCTATTGTTCGCCAAGAAGCTCCAGATGATCCCAAAAGATATAGCAGGTTGTGGCTACCTCAGGATATTTCTCAACTACTTACAGGAAGTGAGGTACGTATAGTCGAATCCCTTAATTTAATTAATTTATACAATTCATTTTAGGAATTTAATTGTTTTTGTTGAAAAATAAAGAGTTAGGTTTATCTATAGGGTTGTGTTTGTTTATGAATAGGTGTTCGTTATGGGTAGTTACTTACAGTTATATGTTTGAATATATATATATATATATATATATATATATATATATATATATATATATATATATATATGTGTGTGTGTGTGTGTGTGTGTGTGTGTGTGTGTGTGTGTGTGTGCGTGTGTGTGTGTGTGTGCGTGTGCGCGCGTGTGCGTGTGCGTATGCGTGTGTGCGCGCTATGTTTCTTGTTAGAAACACAGATAATACTAATATATTTCAGTCTTATATACATTTTCTATTCCGTGATTCTTCGTCATTACTTCCACCCGCCAAGCCATTTCATCTTCCAAATTCAACATGGTATCAAAGCCTACTTTCCTAGGGTATTCCAAACATCAAAATTGTATGTTTCAATCGCATGAACAGTAAAGTTACTGTTCACGCAAACCTTAAATGTTCAAATTACTTGCTTTTGCTGAGTTCTTTTGTCAAATTGGTGTTACCCATCCCTTCTACCGTTTCCGGTGAGCCTGACCCAGTAAGCGGCATCACCATCTCCTCCGCCACGCGCCGGTGCGTGAGGCCATCTCCGGTAGCTTTTTTCGGTGAAACTTTCTAGTTCTGCTCGTCGGCTCTCCTCTATTCTTTCTGTGCATATGATGTATTTTTCCGATAAAGATTTTCCAGATTGTTGTTTTGCCCTTCTTTGGACCTTTTGGTGAAGTTTTAAGGTTCTTTTGGTTTGTTACCAACTTCTTTCCGGGGTGTTTTTGGTATAACCGTATTTGTTTCTTTATTTTCGGTATACCATATTTATTCCCTAGTGTTTTCAAGTTTGGTACCTTTTGTTTATTTTCAGAAGCCTCTTTTGTTATTCACTTATCCTATAAGGGTTATAAACAACAATCATATAGGTGTTCTCGGTATTCATACTTTATTCTTTGGGTGCATTTGTCATTACTTTGGGCTCTATTTCATCCCCTTGCTGCTCATGCTTTGTTTGCTCGGCCACTTTTGATGAAGATTGTTGTTGGCAAATCCTAGAGTATTTATGTTGCTGTGAGGGTGTTCGTGTTAATCTTTACCCATGGTACCTTCATTCCCAAGGATGTTCGTGACATGCGTCGCCCCTGGTGCCTTCATTCCCAAGGGTTGTGTATAGCATTGTCCCTCCGAAGCCATCCAGCACTGTTATTCTCTAGCTGCTTTTAATCTTCATTTGTAATTTAAAGTAAGGTAGGGTGTATGTTTTAATCCAAGCTTGGAACTTCCAGATGTTCCACCTTGAGGGGGAGTGTTGAAAAATAAAGAATTAGGTTTATCTATAGGGTTGTGTATGTTTATGAATAGGTGTTAGTCATGGGTAGTTACTTACAGTTATGTGTTTGAATATATATTTTAGTCTTATATACATTTTCTATTCCGTGATTCTTCATCATTGCTTCCGCCTAACTAGCGGATGGTGTTATTCTCTACCCGCTAGGCCATTCCATCTTCCAAATTCAACAGTTTTATTGTGAAATATTATATTATCAGGGTACAGAAAACATCCAAGGTATAGCATTCAACTTGCAAGTTGCAACAGATGTGAAAGTTAGTAGTGAGGCCTTCACACACATGACCAAGTTAAGACTTCTCAAATTTCACAATGCAAATGCTTCTCAGGCCCCTAATTTTTTCTCAGACGAGTTAAGGTGGCTAGATTGGCACGGATATCCTTCAAAAAGTTTGCCTGCTACATTCCAGGGACAAAAACTTGTTTCTCTTAAAATGCAATATAGCCGTATAATACAACTTTGGAAAGGGTTCAAGGTTAGTTTATCTATCTAAGTGTACTATTTATTTGTTATTTGTCTATGATATGATTTGATCTCTCTTTTTTTCTTTTTTCTTTTTTTTTTTTTGCTTTAATTTTATTCATATCATGGTTGAAGCTGAGGATTCTTAATTATTATTTTTCTTTTATATATGTCTCACTTAGCTTGTATATACAGGTCTTGGACAATTTGAAATTCATGAATCTGAGCCACTCTAAGAAACTAATTAGGACTCCAGATTTCACAGGAATCCCAAATCTTGAAATGTTGATTCTAGAACAGTGTACAAGTTTGGTAGAGATTCATGCTTCTGTTGGATTTCTTAAGAACCTTGTTTCACTTAACCTTAAGCAATGTGTAAATCTAAAGAAGCTTCCCGAAAGCATTCATTTAGAAAAGCTTGAGACAATGATCCTTTCAGGCTGCTTGAAACTTGAAAATTTTCCAAAAGTTGCAACTCCCATGGCATGCCTGTTAGAAGTACATGCTGAGGCTACTGCTATTAAAGAAGTGCCATCATCAATCGAGTGCCTCACAAACCTGAGGTTAATAGATGTAAGCAATTGCAAGCAACTTACAAGCCTTCCAAGTAGCATTTGTAGATTGAAAGGTCTAAAAGTTGTGATTCTCTGTGGTTGTTCCAAGATTGAGAAATTACCAGATGAATTGGGAGAAATGGAATGCTTAGAAAAGTTGTACTGTGACATGACATCGATCCAAGACCTACCATCCTCCATTTCACTTCTCAAGAAACTCAAGATTTTATCATTTCGTGGATGCAAACCCCTAGCCTCTCCATTACAAAAGAGCTGTTCATTCCTCTCTAGGATGTTGCCAGCAGGAGCTTTTCTAGATATCAAGGCTTCACCGTTTTCTTCTCTATCTGGTTTATCTTCACTGGAAGAGCTGGATCTTAGTGATTGTAGTATGCTAGATGGAGGCATTACTCTTGGTGATCTTGGAGAGCTGCGTTGTTTGAAAGTATTGAATCTTAGCAACAACAAGTTTGGTTGTATCCCAGCTGAATCCATTGTCGGCCTCACTCGACTTAAGCACCTTCATCTAGTGGGATGTGAGAGGCTTCAAAGTTTGCCAAAGCTTCCATCTAGTATAATATCGGTGTATGCAGATGAATGCCCCAGCTTAGAAGGCTGCAACATAGATTCATTGACTAAATACCCAAAGTTGAGTCAACTCTCATTCACTAAATGTGCTCAACTACTTGAGGATCCACGTTACGGTCACATAGTTGATGCAATATGGCAGCACCTGTTCAAGGTATGTAACTCATTACAATGCATTGTATGCATCCTTAATTAGTTGTATATGCATGCATGCATGTTTCACACATACAATTTAAATTATTAACAGCATGTACTGTGGGTGGCACAGGGACTATCAAATGACTCAGATCGCTATATTAGTGTCTACTTTCCAGGCATGGTGTTACCTGAGTGGTTTACGTATAAGAATTGGGGAAATAAATTATCAGTTAGCCTGCCTCAAAATTGGTACAATAACAAATTCATGGGATTTGCATTCTGTGTGGTTCCTAACTTGATAAATACAGGATGTCGGAATATTAAATTTTCCGGTGTAACTAAAACCTATGGACTTGATCTCATAATAATTCCCACAACTCGTAATGGTCGTGGTCGGTATTATATTACATTAGTTTTGGGCTTTAAGGGGGTTGATCAGAATATGGAATCCGATGAGCTCACTTGCCTGTCCTATAGGCCATTTCATGATAGAAATTATAATTGTAATGAATGGTGTCAAATTGAAGTTTCTGGTTCCAATACGGTATACACGGCTATTGGAATGCGCCTGGTGTACAAGGATGATGTTAAAACCAGTGATGAACTACTGATGATACAAAATGACATTGCCGATCTCCACCATGTATGATTATGTCAAAATGAGCGATGTTGCACACTTTTTTTTAAACTTTCTTTTTAGTGTTCGATTCCCTCCTCATGTAACACTATTTAAGACATTTCTTTAATATTTAATTACAAATGAGTGTTAAGTTGTCAACTATTTATGGACACAAATATAAATTACATCAAAAATGAAAAATTACTAGGGAAAAGCATTTTCCTTGTTTAATTTCTTACAATCATCATGAGATCTACCGACATTGTCAATAAAAAGAAATAACACATGCATATGATGATTTTCACTTATTTCAACTTCCACCAAAGAAACATGTTTAATTTCTTTTGAAGTTCTTATGTTCATTGTAATATTTTTTTTAAAAAAAATAATTTTTAAATGTAACATTTTGCATGGTGTAAATTTTCAATTTGTTTGTTCAATTCTATCATTGAATTTAAAAATTATCTATTTGAGTCCCTTAAATATTCATTTTATACTCAATTTGGTCATTTATTAGGAAAATTGCAAAATTATTGATGTTAAATTTTAGAGAAAAAATAGAATTTCAAAAGTTGAGTGATAAATTTGAAAATTAACTCTTTTGAAAATTTTATTATTGTTCTAAATAAATATATGTAGAAATTACTAGAGGTAATATTATGATAATACATTTTCGATCATTTATCATCTTGTAATTATACTGTGAAACTATGTACTTACTACTTAGTGTATATATTGGAATGAATGATGATTAATAAAAGACTAATAATTTCACTCTATATTTGTCTTCTCTTTATTTTAGTGGATATTCTTATGTTTATTACTTTCCTACAATTGGAATGATACTACTAATCACGCAAGGATACATCTTATTCTACATCAATCCTCAATGAACGTCGTGAATAAGTTATGTACGTATTGGTGCTACTAGTCATTGAATATGAGTCGTTGTTCTCTCTCGATCTTGCCAAAAAATCTGATGGCGAGGTGGACCTTGACGATCCTCTTGCAACGATGGAGCTATGCATAGAGCGTCGTGTTATCAGCTCATGCGATAGTCTAGTTGCTCTGTTGTACAAGTATACACTAGTACAAAATGAGTCATTTTCTTCTTTATTAAATGATAATATGCATCTTTACTACATAATCAAGACACATATACTACAGACGCAAAAAAAAATGGAAACTTTACGCGTCTTAAAAAATTAATACTAAAAGCGTCTTTACCTTAATGGTATAGACTCCTATAGTTATATTTTTGAAAAAGTAATATATTTTTATTTATTAATACATGTACAATAATTAAATTAACATGTTCAACAGAAAATCAATTGCCAAACAACATTTATAAGTTCAAACCATTCAACACACAATATAATAAAATTTTAATCACGTACTAATACAATACAATAAATATAATCCAACATATTTAATATTCTTACAAAATATAATAATAGATCGAACACTATGGTATGGAAGCCACTTCAGCTCTGGAGGCGGAAGCGATGACTTTGTGTAGATCTCTGCAATGGTGTGAAACTATGGTAACCCTTCATCATTGAAGTGGATTCTTAGAACTTGTTCGCTTTCACGGGGGAAATTAAAGAATCCCATGGAAGATCAAAGAGGTGGTCTTGAGTGTCCGCTCTCACCTCTCTATTTGGGGATCTTCGTTAATACACGTGTATAGGGAAGCAAATCAAGTAGTCGACGCCTTTGCGGCGGAAGGGCTAGCTGTTGGCTCGGCCGCGATATTTAGCTCCTTTACAGCTTTGCCTATCAAAGCCAAACTGGCTCTTTTGTATGATTTCAAGGGATTTGCTATCCACCGGGCTATTCGCATTTAATGAAACTTCTATTTGCTCAAAATAATAATAATAATAATAATAATAATAATAATAATAATAATAATAATAATAATAATAATAATAATAATAATAATTATAGAACACTAATCTATCATATAATGTAATTCTATCTAAAACACATAATAAAAATTTATATACACTCATTCACAAAACATTCTGTCCATAACAAACCTCCGTATCTAGAATACGTGTTTGCATTGTGTATGTCTTGATATGTATGCCAACAAAATTTTAGGTAATTAGACAAATAATGAGTATACTATAAAATATAATAATAATTAAAAATATTTAAATTGTATCACTGTACTTTTACATTTTAGGGAAAATTGTAAAAAATACTCTTTTATAACATGCCAATTATCAATGTCACCCCTGAATTATGAGAGGTGTAAATGTTGCCACTCAATTATCAAAACAGTGCACATATAGCCCCTCCCGTAATGGACATGTGGTTCCCTGTTTGTGTACGACACCGTTAAGTCTGAGTAAATATGTAATTTAGTTGTTTTTTTCCTCCCTCAATTTGAAGTACCAGCGATAGACAGTGGAGAACCACAGATCCGTTACGGGAGGGGCTATATGTGCACCATTTTGATAATTGAGGGGCAACATTTACACCACTCATAATTCAGAGGTGACATTGATAATTGACATATTATAGAGGGACATTTTTACAATTTTCCCTACATTTTATATAGCCCACATCTAAAATGTTGTACATTGCTCTTAATTAAAATAGCAATATAAAGACAAAAGATTATCACTTCAGTCATCAAAGTTATTTTACATAGCATACGTTTCTTCTAACACCAAACAATTTTATGTCAAGAACTACTTTAATCAGGCAAAAAGAAAACTTATTCAAACAAAATTAAAGTAGACTAGAATTTCATCACTGTAAATGATACGTTAATTTCGTCTGATTACCTTGAACAACTTTATCCAACAACATTTTATAGCGCACATAAACATTGTATATATGATATACCTGGTATACTTGCCGCACTAGCTGCATGCCTTTGCTCTCTTCTCTGCATTTTCAATGTTAAATAATCCTTTATGCGCTATAACTTAAATGCGGAAGCACAATTAACAATGATCGCATGTAAATCAAATCAATCAACTAAACAATGTTCATGATCATGGACTTTTAATTAAATAGGAAAGATAGGACTTACTTGTTTCCATTGAAGATGTAATCTCTAAATTGAATGAATCAAGAATATAATGCTTCACCTCTCTGATCCGTATACCTTATTCACCTCCTGATGATACGGAGACTAGAAAACTTAGAGATTTTAAAACCGTTAAGATCCCTAGAGTTTTCCTGGGTATTTATAGATGTGATGAGAACCCCTCTTTCAAGAGGAATGGGGAACCTCCTTTAGGAATAGAAATCCTTTTAGGAATGTGACCTCCTTTAGGAATAGAAATCCCTTTAGGATTGTGAAACTCATAACCTTATCCATTATACATCTTTTAACCCTTATAAACTTAAATTTTAACAGAATGAGAGGGGGGGAATTTCACCCAGTAATTCCGCCTTTACACATCACTAATCATCAACGTGAGTACCTTATGGAATTACAACCTTTATTATATAAATCATTGTTAGGAAATAATTATTTCTAACAGTCTCCCACTGATTCATATGAGCATGACACCTTAATTATATAAATCAACGTTAGGAATAAATTATTTCTAACAATCTCCCACTTGATTCATATATGCGTGACTTTACAATTTTCAATCCTTAATTTGAGCTCACTTAATATGAAAATGTAAAAGTCACCACCTTATCGAACTTTATTAACCGAATCATGGCGGTTACAGGCCTGACATAGCGTCCCGCTCCCTTCCATGTATCACAGTTAATAAGAATTCGAACCATAATAATAAGGTAAAATCCGAAAGTACCTTATTCTTTATGTCTTAAACAAGACCATTATTATCACTTCTGAATTATGCATAAATAAGTGATCAACATCAACCATAACAAAATCAAAACCTGAATAGATATCTAAGAATATCATCAACCTGATGTGCTATCAAACATAAATCCATACATGTATGACAGAGTTAACCGTTATACAAGGACTTTACCAGTATGCACATCCTTCCAACATGGCCAATGAAGGTCGTGGGCGCCAATCCCTTAGTCAACGGATCCGTGATCATAAGATCGATGCCAATATGCACTATTGATACTCTTTTGATTTTGTACCTTCTCCTTAACAGACAGAAATTTCAAATCCATGTGCTTGGCACCACTAGTATATCTGTCGTTCTTTGAGAAAAACATAGCTGCTGTATTATCATAATGAATCCTCAATGGTTTGGCTATAGTGTCGACAATGCCCAAACCATAAATGAAATTACGCAGTCATGATTATTGAATTGTAGCCTCAAAGCATGCTACAAATTCTGCCTTTATAGTGGAAGTAGCAATGACAGGCTCCTTCACACTCATCCAAGATATTGCTCCATGAGCAAGTGGAAAAATATATTCGAATGTGGATTTTCGGGTATCCAAACATCCGGCATAGTCTAAATCCGAATAACCTATAACCTCCAGGTTATTCGTTCCTTTTATAGGTGAGCATGTGGTCCTTAGTGCCTTGTAAGTATCACAGGACCCTCTTTTGCAGTTTTCCAGTTTATATCTTTCTAAAACTTTGTTAATGTGAGTCTTCTAGGATAAACCTAAAATCCCATGTGATCTATCACAGAATATTTCTTATTCCAATCACATATGAAGTCTCACCCATATCCTTCATTTCAAAGTTCTTAGAAAGATATTCCTTAACATCACGCAACATCCCTTTATTATTAGCAGCAAGAAGAATGTCGTCAACATGTAATACTAGGATTACAAACTTGCTTCCATTAAACCTTTATGTAGATACACCGATCAACAATGATCTCTACAAAACCAAATGACAATTTCAGGTGCCATTGTCTAGAAGCATGTTTTAATCCATAGATCGACCTCTTCAATCTACATACCAGATTTTCCTTTCCTGTGGCCATGAAGCCTTGCGGCTAATCCATGTACACTTCCTCTTTTAATTTACCATTCAAAAAGGCAATTTTAACAACCATTTGGCGGAGCTCAAGAACAGAATGAGCCACCAAAGCTAAAATAATTCTCAAGGAGAATTATTATCCTGTATGGCTTGGTTAAATGAGACTGGATAAT